AAAAATGTAATATCGATCAACGTAATTCAAGCTGATGTATGAAATAATGATGTAATAGCAAAAAGCAGATGCAATATTACATCAATGGATGTAATTTTGTTCGCAAAATCGATGTACATCGTACAATGTGATATTACACAACCGATGGATTGACCTGGTTGCAGCAGTTTCGATGTAATATTCAACAACTTTTTTTGCTGTGTTCCTCCTCACCTACATCTTCTCCTTCTTCCGCTTCCTCTTCATACATCTCAACGTCCAGAAATTCTGGCTGAGGTATCATGTTTATTTTCACTGCCCTGAATGTATATTTACTTACTATGAATCGACGTTTTAATATCGACGGGCACGAAATACAACCACTACACAGGACACGCGACTTGTAAATGTGAGCCAACGCCGATTGTGTTGTACGATTTGACAGTTGTACAATTTTCACGTTAAAAGAAAACACTTTTAAATCGACAACAGAACCGATGAAAAAACACTGTTAAATCAAACAAATCACTTTCATACTAAAATTTTTCACTTTTATTTCAATAAAAACAAACCACTTCTTAAAACAAAAGTGTAAAATATTCAATAGAACAATTTTTATATTCTGTGTGTACTGAAAAAGGTAGCGCGCGGTCTCACGCACACTTTTGTGCATCTGGAGAACTCTATTGCTCTGTCTGCTCCCCCAACGTCGTTAGGATTTTTACATGGCGTTCGAATTGGTCAGCCAGGCACAATATGGTAGCAGAAGATTCCTTTTTCACAGGCTATATAGCGAAAAGCGAGTTGATGTGGTTTTTAATTAGCAGGCGCTTGTTATCGAAGCGACTGACCAGTAAATCCCAAGCGATCCTGTAATTATCTCCCGTAATGCTAGTTGTATCAAGGAGTTGCTTGACGAGTTCCTTGAGTGCTGCCATCAAGTAATGGAATTTATCTACAGCAGCCAAACCCTTATTGTTGTGGATTAAGCTACGATAAGCATCATAAAATGGGATCCAATTGTCTATCTCGCCATCAAAAGTTGGCAAATCAATTTTTGGCAAGCGCACTACAGATATAGAAACCTGAGAGGTATTAGCAGCAACATGGCGGTTCACTTTATTTGCGGTGAGGAAGTCATGCAACTTGTAGCACTTGTCCTCCATTTCATTGCGTACCCTTTGTCTCGGATTTTTCATCCATTAACAATTCCAACTCAATTGAAGCGTTAGTAAATCGATCATATAATAATTCTAGCCTACTCAATCTAGAGTCGATCTTGTCTCGATCGACCTCGGCATCGTAATTATTGACGAAGTTCCCGATGGTCTGTATTGCGTCCGTAATGACGCTCACTGCCTTTTATGGTTCCCGAAGCGACGTCATATCGCCTGCTGAGATCGTCACGTGAAACACAGACCACCAATTACCACCACAATCCAAGCCAAATTCTTAAAAATCGATGCCAGTCCACTCAAAATCCGAAAAACTTGCTTACTCTACGAGAGTACTCACCAGTCGACACGCCAACCCAAGCACCCAACTCACAATCGATGGCGCAGGTTCTGTCGCCCAAACCTGGAAACGTGACGGCACAGGTTTTGACGGCCAAACCTGGAAACGACAGCAGTCAAGGTGTTGGTTTTGTCGATCAAACCCACGAAACGAATCCAATCACTAACGCACTTGCACGTTCAAATGGACTTTCTTTTCTTGTCCACTTTTCTTGTTTTACGGAGTAATTCACAGCATCCGATCTCCGATAAATGTTCTTTACACACGCGATATACTACTTTCGGTAATCGCGTACACGGACAAAGCGACGGGAGTCCAAACCTTCTCCACCAGACCAAACCACAGAAAAGGTGCGCCGTCCGATCGGCGATCGATTGTATTGCTCACAATTAACAACGGTGATGATGCTGCAGCAGCAGCGGTGAGGTCGCAACAAAGCGACGGCACGTATGAAGTTGATTCCACTTCGAACGGAACAATTCAAGACCAACCATTGAAAAGGGCTCAACTCCATTTTGTAAACAAACCTTGTAAGGCCATTTACTCGCGAACCAAAACCTACATTCGCAAACCTAAATAACAATCGGGTTGAGGAGAATTTCCCCTACCTGTTCATTGTGTTAGTTTGCGTTGGCGTACTTCGGTTCGCAACAAAATGGCCTTACAAGGTTTGTTTACAAAATGGAGGTGAGGCCTTTTCAATTGTTGGTCTTGAATTATCCGGTTCAAAGAACCAAAAAGATGTCCGCGCACTGGGAATCCTCTTCGATGAGCTCCAACGCCTGGCAACGGCTGAGCGAACTATCCGGAAATAGTCACTGGTTCAGGGGTTTTAGCCACAGAAAGTTAAACATGGTTAAACCATACCAAACTTTTATACCTACCGAGTCGATCAAGAGTGATCGAGCCAGGAGGATATTCCTACGTGATGTAGATGTTTGTGTTTTCCTGCTGTGTGGAGTGTAGAGCGAGATACAATTCTGTGCGGCGTGTGGGTACAATATTGCTGATTGCATCTGAAACTGGACTGTCCCAAAAATGCAAAAGTGTGATAAAAGTGCACGTTTCCGTCAAATCGTTTTGATGTCTTCGGAGCACTTATTGCTTGCATCATAAGGAATAAGTGCACCGAAGACACCAAGACGATTAGACGTAAACTTGCAGTTTTATCACACTTTAAAAACGCGCTTATTAGTCCAATTTGGTGTGAAACGCGCAATAGATTTAGATTTCTGCTTGTTCTGTGTCGCTTGTGCAGTGGTATCTCGGACCATCGCGTTGTCCGCGACAATATTTATTGTGGATAATAGGGTACGTCAATCGATTTGCTTGGGACCAATAGGCTAGTCAAGTCGTGAGCAAATTTTAAATCGTTAGTTTCCACCGGCTGGTACCTCTATGGTAGTAACATAGAGGTAACTCTAAGACCACTGGGTCCCGAAGAAAATCATTATTATTTTTGGCTCACTCAGTACCAGAACAACGGTCCCAAGCAGTCCCAAGCTATTTCACTCACCCCTGCATGTTCTGCAGAATCCACACACCCCTGATGTTATCTGTCAAACTTTCATAGCGAATCAAAACAAACATAGTGTAGTAATAGAATTTCAACTAGAATAGGGTACGTTAATCGTTTGCTTGGGACCAATAGGCTACTAAAGTGGTGAGCCAATTTAAAATCGTTAGTTTCGTATTGATTGTTGGTAGTAGCACAAACGAAGTGACAGACGGAGCGGCTCGAAAACTTTGGTGACGCACCTGCTAATGCAATTTTTCAGTGTACCACATGGCAACACCACTACTACTGGATTGTGCCACATGGCAACACTACTAATGGATTGTACCACATGGCAACACTAAATGTACTGGAATGTTTTGGTTCTATCTCTCTACTCTTTACTCTAAACTGAAATGCATAAAAAAAAAATTACAAAATGATACACTCTTTGCACACTGTCAAAGATCATATTGCACACAAAATCAACTATATTCAAATCAAAACAAAAATACTAGCCCATCTAGTGGCTGATGGCACAAGCATCTAAGAAAATTCTATTACAGCGAACCACATAATTTTAATTCTGGATCAACAATAGAAAAGGGCCCATCAGCATTTGTAAACAAACCGTTCCAAAGCCCATTCCTCACAAATCGAAGGCCGCCCACACAAACCAACACCAGCATCGTGTAGGTAGAAATTTCCCCTATCCGATGATGGTGTTGGTTTGCGTGGGTGGCCTTCGCTTTGGGAGTAAAGGGCTTTGGAACGGTTTGTTTACAAATGCTGATGGGCCCTTTTCTATTGTTGATCCAGAATTGATTTCTTCGCCAGTTAGTCGTCTGTCACTTCGTTTTTGGTAGTAGCATAGAGGTAACACTTAAGGGCCACCCACATTAGATCCGTTTGGGTTGCGTTGACGTAAATTTGACAGTTAGACAATAGATTTAGCTGTCACTTTGTCGCAACGCGTCTGATCCGGATCTAATGTGCGTGGGCCTTTAGACTAGAAGGTCCCGAAATAACGTGCTCAACTTTTTGGCTCAGCTCTGGTACCATAGAGGTAACTCTAAGACCACTGGGTCCCGAAGAAAATCATTATTATTTTTGGCTCACTCAGTACCAGAACAACGGTCCCAAGCAGTCCCAAGCTATTTCGCTCACCCCTGCATGTTCTGCATGAATCCACACACCCCTGATGTTATCTGTCAAACTTTCATAGCGAATCAAAACAAACATAGTGTAGTAATAGAATTTCAACTAGAATAGGGTACGATAATCGTTTGCTTGGGACCAATAGGCTACTAAAGTGGTGAGCCAATTTAAAACCGTTAGTTTCGTATTGATTGTTGCTGGTACTCTCTTCGGTCCTAAGCTAATCGATTCACCCCTCGAAACATAGGAAAAACCAATAACCCCTAATTTTATCTGTCAAACTTTCATAGCGAATCAAAATAAACATTGCGTAGTACTGGAATTTCGACTAGAATGGGGTACGTTAATCGTTTGCTTGGGACCAATAGGCTAGTCGAGTAGTGAGCCAATTTAAAATCGTTAGTTTCGTATTGATTGTTGGTAGTAGCACCGGTTGGAAACTCTAGATAGAGCTGGAATTAGGGCCTAACAGCTTTTGTAAACAATGACTTCCCCTATCCGATGGTTAAGGCCGGCGCACAATGCATACGTTTTCGGGTTTTTTGACAGATAATGCATGGGCTAACTGTCAAAAAACCTGAAAACGTATCTATTGTGCGCCGGCCTTTATTATTCTGAATTTACATCAAAACGCAGCCGTGCCACCGGTATAATATGGCTGCGAGGGTGAATTTCAAATTTTGAAATTCAGCCTGAACGCAACCATATTATACTAGTCAGTTATGCGCGAAATCGAAACGCGATCAAAAACCGACCAAACGTCACGTCAACGACAAAACCAGGCGCGAAAAGTTTATAAACAAAAATCATCGTCCTGTACCGTTGGTTTTTGATTGGTGTCGTAATTTGTAAATTTTGTTGCTTTGTTGGTTACGATAGCCTAACAGTAGAAATTGTGTATAAGGTCAAGGAAAAACAAGAAGACTACTAACAAGATCCGTTGTGCACGAAATAATTCGTAGATTATAATAACATTGATTCAATTTCACTATGCTCTTCAGTCAAGAGTGAGTATTATTAAGCTATTGGTCCTGATGCAGTAGTTTTGCAAATTAATCGATTCATTACAGCTACCAACGCTCGGTAGACGATGTCCAATCGATCATCCAGTATGCAAAGCTGGATCACAACAATCTCACCAACACGGCACAGGTAATTTCAAGTTTTGTGTGCAACAATGTTAGTGATATTTAAAATAAAGGTTTGCTTTTAGGCCATCTACTATCCGGATACCGACCAGGACATGTCCAGGTTGAAGCTTATCGAAGCGGATGATCACATTCTGCAACAAATCAAGGAAGGCAAGTCCGTATCGTTCAAAGGGGCTCTTAACGAGAAGGTAGTTATTTGCACCGAGTCCAGGACGTACGAAGTCAAGGAAGCGGAAATTTCGAACAGTCTACTTCTGGTTCCTCATTTGAAGCAAGCACAAGCCACCAGTCGATCTCCGATCAAAAGTCCCAAAGGTGGAGTAAATACCTCGCTGGATAGTAGTACGGAAGAAATGGAGGGGGTTGTGGACAGTATCGATGAGGTGGAGCGTAAGGATGTGGTAAAAATATTCCACGATTACTTCGAATGCCGACAGGTTAAACCAAAGTATAGGAAGATTATCGATTTGCTTCGGTTAACCAAGTATTCCGGGACGGAGAACGAACATCTTGTGGAACGGTCGCTGCTGTTTCGATTCAACCAGCTATTGGATACAGTTCAATGCAGCAAGGAGGAATTTCAGGATGGGCTGAGGAAGTACCGAGCGATCGAGATTGAGAATCGAATTCGAATGCTGGACAGCGAGTATGAATACCGGATAGTGACTTTGATGTTGGCGTTGATTGGGGAGAATTCCTGGAACCTGGATGAGATTGATAAGGCTTCGACCGTTGAATCGCTGGATGGTATTATTCCTTATGAAATAGTCGATGGCATCTTCGACGTTTACACGGAGAAAAGTGAACGGGTGCCGGGAAAATTCAAGTATCGCGAGGATTTGGTGTGTTCGTTGTTTGCGGAGAAAATTTTACTGCAGGGTTTGAAGTTCCATATCGACGATTTTCTGACCACGTGGCAGGCGACTTTACCCGAAGGATTCCATGCTGATGAGAAGTACCTTCGGGGGATTGGTATTGTAGATCGCGAAGGAACGGTTCCCTGCGTGAAAGGGTTAAATGAAGCGGATTTGCCAACGAATTTGCTCGTCCGATTGGTCACCTTGTTCCGGGCAAAAGAACGATGGAATTTGGAACAAATTCAGCCGTATATTGAGTAAGTAAAAGTCAGGGAAAATGAAGCGTAAGTGGGTGGAACTTACCGAATGTTCTTTTTTCGTTGCAGGTGTTTCACGACACCGACGTTGGGGGTGACGGCGATTCTGGCTAAACACACTCGATCGCTGGTCGTGAATGGGGTACGGATCTACGTTTCCAAGCACTAGCGCCGCTCCGTTTAAGGATATTTCTTTTGCACTACTTCACCGGTAAACGCCAAGAGTTCATTGTTTTAAGAATAAATCTGCTTTTTTTTTCAAACGCTTCGCTAGCTATGCACTTTTATGAAAATCACACGAATTTCTTCTGTTTCTTGTTACGTTGCTTCTTGAACTGAATGTTCTCCTGGACGACCTGTTGCACCAGTTTGATGGCGGATTGTTTCTTCTCGGATGAGAAATTGACGGCGGCGGCCGATGTGGGGTATCTGCAATGGAAATTCACACAAATGTAGATATGGAACAATCGAGCAGCTATATACTTACTTCAACTCCGTACGATCCATCACGATCGGAGACGCCAGCAGTCTGCTCAGCTCCAACCGCCTCGCCTTCATCTGGCGCTTCTCCCTGCCTTTGGCCAGTTTCCGCTCTTCCTCCTGTTCGCTGTCAACATCCGAGTCACTCTGGAATTCCTTTGCCACCTTGTCCTCCCAACTTCGGCTGTCGTTCGCTCTCCGCTGGTGCAGATCCATCTTCTCAATGTCACACGCTAAATTGACTCTTTCCTTGATCTGCTTCATCATCCGCTCGGACGTCGGATAGATCGGCAGATCTTCGGTTCTACCCAGTGATTGATTTAGCTTGACATAGTCCTTGACCTCGTTTGGTCCGATTAACAGCACCGTGATACCTTCCTTGCTGGCACGGGCTGTTCGCCCGGATCGGTGCACGTAGTTCTCCGTCGTTTTGGGTACCTGATAGTGAATTACATGGTCTACGTTTGGAATGTCCAAACCTCGAGCGGCGACATCCGTGGCGATGAGCAATGCAGCGGGATTTTGAGTGAATCGTTCCAGATTCTTCAATCTCTGCCGCTGTTGCATGCTGCCAAACAGGCTGAGCGGATCGCAGTTCAGATAGCCTAGTAAGGATACGAGACGCCGGACGCAGTCGATCGAATTGCAGAAGACCAGGGTTCGTCCAGGATGCCGCTGCAGGAAGTAGTACAGATAGTAGTCTTTGTGTTCGGCTTTGCACAGGATTCGCGATTCGATCAGCGTGTGAGCCGTTCCGTGCTGCTGGGTGATGTCCACCACTTTCGGGTTGGTCATCCCGATGATTTGGATCAAATTGTTCAACCTCTGACCGGTTGTCTCTTTAGTGAGGTGAAGCTTCTTGTTCTTCTTGGCTTTGGCCACCAAATGCTCCGGAAGATCGTGATCCATGGTCAGGGTAGCCGAAAAGATATAATTCCGTCTGAGTTTGGTAGCTTCCTCGTTGTTGTTGATCATCTCCAGTAGCTGCTTGAGCTCTTCAAAGTGTCCTTTCTCCAGCATCCGATCGGTTTCGTCGATTACCAAGAATCTGTTGGGATGGAAAATGTAAGGATTTATGGGTGAAGGACAGTTTGACCAACTTACCGAATTTCATCCACCTTGCAGAGATGCGGATTCCGGGCCTGTATCAGCTCCCACAGTCTACCAGGGGTCGCAATCACAATTTCGGGACATTTCTTCAGCATCCTCTCCTGTTTGACGGTGGCCAATCCTCCGAAAACGGTCGCTATCTGAATGTCGGTGTACTTGGTTACGGCCTTCAAGTGATCATTGATTTGGACGGCCAGCTCACGCGTCGGAGTCAAGATCAGTGCGTACAAAGGCTTATCCAGCTGCGTGGATTGCTTTTCCTTCTCCAAATCCTTCTCCATGCGGATCGAAGAATTGTCACCATTCGGCTGCGGGTAGTACTCTAGTTCCTCCGGGGGTGGTGTTAGTTCATGTCCTTCGCGATTTTCCTCCTCCTTCTTGGTACCTTTCGACTTTTTCGGCGGACGATATTGTTCCGAGGCTTTGAGCTTCAGAATTCCTTCCAGGAGAGGAATTCCGAACGCAAGTGTTTTACCACTTCCGGTTTCTGCCGCTCCAAGTAGATCACGTTTGCCCATGATTGCAACCGGGAGTGAAAGAGTTTGAATTTCTGTCGGCTCCCGGAACCCCTTGTCGGCCAGGGCACGAACAAACGGTTCCGATACACCCAACTCGGTCCATTTCTGTAATTAAGGAGATCTGGTTATGCAACTGTGCAATATTGTGGTTTTCAATGAACTTACAAAATACTCTGCTCCAGAGTAACTTTCCCCGGTTCCTTCCCCATTCATGGTACCATTTTCCTTATTTTTCTTCTTGTTCTTGCGCTTTTTCTTTTTCTTCTTGTCCGATTTGCTGTCGTCTTCGACGGGTTTCTGCAGCATGACGAATCTTCCGGGAACAAATTCCTCTTCGACTTCATCCTCATCATCTTGGTCCTCCCGAACGGATTTGTTCTTCCGTTTATCCGCTTTTTTCTGTTTCCTAGCGGGTTTGTCATCAAATCCAGAATCATCGTCCGAATCTTCGGACATCGGTTCCGGTTCCCGCTGCTTTTGTGCCTTCTTCTGCTTCTTTTTCGTAGGACGTTCCTCCTCACTGTCCCCATCGCTATCGCTGACGGCACTTCTCTTAGCGCCACCCTTTTTGGTCGGCAGCTCCTTCTCGGTGTCACTTTCATCTTCCAGAAGAGGCTCCTTCTTCAGTTTCTACGATCGAAAGATAAAACATTAAGCATCTATCGAGCAAAAATACATATTCTATACATACCTTTTTTTTGTCCTTGGTCACCAAGGTCCGATCGTAATTCTCCAGTATTTCCAACCCGATCAACCCAGCCAAATCACCCCCCTCGTCAGAGATCACCGGTCCGCTGAGTTTCACATGCTTCCAGGAGGCTTCCGGCAGGGTTCTCGGCCCACTTGACGGCGGAGGCGGCCTGTACCGGTGCTTGAACTTTTTAGTTTTCTGTACCATTTTGCTCGAGGTTTTTAAATTATTCAATCGAATTTGTAACAAACGTAACAACTTTTAGCAAAAATACACGTGCTGCAGCTGATAGTTAGCCGAAAACATGCGCACAAAACAATCTGCTGTCACAACAGTTTTATACCACTTCGAAAAACTGGCTGCGGCGGCGGTGTCTTCAAATCAGCTGTCAAAACACATCGTTCGGCCATCTTCGCTTCGCTTCGTGTCTGTGCCAGCCCAGCGTTTTTGAGTTGGTTGGCTGCTTGCTGCTGGACTTGGGGTTTCTCTCGGCTTTCTCTCCTCGACCGAACAAGGTGTGTGCATTGTGTGCTCCCGCTGTAGCCATAAAAAAAGTGGAAGATTTCCATTTTTTTCACACAATTTTTCCAGCGAGGAAGTCGAAGTAGTAAAAGTAAATGTTCGCGTATAACTATCGAATTCGGGCACAATAATCATCCGACAGTAAAGTGAAACCCAGAGTTCATCAAATTCCCAACGCGAAACTTCGACTGTAAAGTGACGAATTTGGTGAAGAAAAATTTTTTCACCTTCCGATCGCCATCTTTTTTCTTCGATCGACCGTGTGCGCGTGTGTGTTCCGAGTCGAGTACCCCAAAGCGGAGCGCTACACAGACGGAACAGTAGTTTTTCCTTTCGCTTGCATATATCCATCGAGGGGCCGAATCTTCGATAGTGTAGTGTGTTTCAAGCGGAAGACAGACGAACGACAACGGTGGAAAAGTGCACTAGCCAGCAACGCACATCAAGACGTAAGAATTTCAAAGTGAAGAATACATACTGTGTTCGGTCGACTCGTAGTTGAAAGCAGTAACTAGGAAAAAAAAAAGTAGCAGTTTTACGTTTTACGCAGCTAACAGATCCATTTTGTATCGGCTTTGCGAGGAAGAGAAAGCACGAGAAGGTAAGCATCGAGCTAGATTGGGTATGTTGCATTGAAAAATCAATAATTTTCTTTCTCTGCGCTTGACTAGGGTGCCTACATAGTACGCAGCATACGAAGACATATCTTTGGTGTGATTTAGACAGTAATGCGAAAATGACCGAACGCTCCTAGCAGCGAAATGCAAAAGCGTTGCCGCACAGCCTAAAAATGTTAATTTTGTGATTTTTTTTAACTGAAACGTAGTTTCATTATATAGGGGAAATGTATGTAATGTCGGCCTAAATGCCCCTAATTTGGGCCCATACATAAATTCATCAATCGACTAAAAACCAAAAATATCCATTAGTACCGTCCCAATGACGCGTTCATCTAGATAAAATTGATAAATAGCAGATTTCTAGCGATGGGTCCAATCTTAGATCAATAGGCCAACATTAGAGCCACTTCCCCTACATATGTTGGAGTGCTGCTGCGTTTATCCAAAAAAATCTCTTGTGAAAATCTGCGGTTTAAAAATGGCCGTGCTTAGAACATAGCAATCATAAATAATTTTAATTATTATGTTGTATCGTATGAACTAGTGATGGACTAGTACACTAAGACAAATAAACTTAAGAATTTCATAAGGCTCGACTTATGAACGACACATGAATTTCATAAGGGTGAATTGTAAATGATTTTCGGCTAACATTAGGTAGCTCTTATAAGCCTTTAATTTAATAATTCGTATCAATTAAAACTCATGCGATTTGATCTACCGAACAACGGGAGTCGCTTCTAGACCAGGTCTGGAAGGTCTATTTTCATTTAAAAACTTGAGCCGGGTTTTACACGGTTCGTTTTTACAATCCTATTAGGGGCTGTTCATTAACTACGTAGACATTTTATTGGGATTCTTGTGCGGGTGGTGGATTTCGCGTAAGTGCCTCTGCTTACGGGTCCACCCCACCGTTTTTGGCCCTTCATACAGCGATATTGTGAATTCAGATCGGTAGCTCAAATTGATCTTGCTATTAAGTGGAGCTGCATACAAGACAAGATCTTCGAAGGGATGGTGGCTACCTTACATACATACATACATTCTTGTGCGGGTCGCACAAAATTATGCGGCAGTACGTTGGGGGAGGTCTGCTCTAGACTGTTTTTGATTACTTCTCTGGGAGCATCTGGATCATTTGGTCCTCCACGTCTCAGCGCAACGTCTTCTTCACCACCGACTGAACCTCGCCTTTCCGATTGCCAACCTATGTTATCCGATGGACTTGTGATGTATTATCAAAATGTGTGACCTGCGAACTAAGATTGACGACTTATTCTTGGCTGCTGTTGAGTCCAACTACGATACAACCGTTCTTACCGAAACCTGGCTAAATGATCGAATGCTCTCAGCACAATTATTTGGCAGTGGGTTCTCAGTTTTTCGCAATGACCGGGTGAACAGTGTCAAATCACGTGGTCGTGGCGTCTTTATTGCGGTTTCCAAACGACTGAATTGTTGCCTCGTTCCTGCTCCGGTCAGTCACACAACATTATAAGCATCGGCGTTTATGTTCCTTCATCCTGACCGTAAATCTAATTTGAATTGCGTTGAGAACCATACCAGTATTGTCCCGATTACGTTACAACGATCTAGCTCTGCTATTTGGCGACTACAACCAGTCTGGGCTTGTTTGGCAGATTTCCGCGAATGATCATCCAACTATTAACATTCTTCGGTCGTACATGCCTGCTTCCTGCTGTGGTCTTTTGGATGGTTCCAGCCTGCATGGGTTAATGCAAATTAATTCTGTACCAAACAGAAACCCTCGACTGCTTGATCTAGTGTTGGTGAACGAAGCCGCCGCACTAGAGTGCAGTGTCGCCAAGGCATCAGAGCCTCTGATACATCTAGACACCGATCATCCAGCGTCGGAAGCATTCATCAATCGATCACTCCTGTTCTCTATGCAGACATCGTTGATGTACAAGGCCTGAACTTGCGTAGATTGACTACGGTGCATTTAATCAGTCACTGGTCCAGGTAGATTGGCAGTCACTTGACTTGTGTTCGTCCATTGATAAAGCCGTTAACTATTTCGACGAAATTGTGAGTCGATTAATAATGCCGATTAATGTGTGCCTCTGAGGAGACCTGTTCCAACACCTGAATGGTCTAATGCTCGATTTGCAGCACTTGAAGCGTGTGAGATCGAAGGTTCTTCGCAAATACATTCAGTCCCGTAATCCATTCACCAAGCGATTATTTTCGTTAGAAAGTAATTGCTACCGAATGTACAACTGTTTTCTATACAAGAAGTACTCAAGTCGTATGCAGACCAATCTCCGGCGTAATCCTAAACTATTCTGAACGTTTGTAAAGACAAAAAGGAAAGACGATGGGCTACTGGTTGAGATTCATCTGTGTGATAAAAGAGTCAACACTTCTTTAGAAAAATGTAACCTCCTGGCTGAGCATTTCAAGAGTGTTTTCAACGATGAGATTCAAAGATACTCCTAGTGACGCATTCAGCTTTGATATTTTTACGGTCACATAGGAGCTCGTCGACTCTACCATCCAGAAGCTGAAATTTTTCGAACGCTGTTGGGCCTGATGGCATTCCATCGTCCATACTCAAAAGATGCTCAACAGAGCTTTCCTCTCCGCTTTCAAAAGGAATTGAAAGCCAAGTTTCAACACGAAAACCGAAGCTGTTTTCATTGTAAGGAAGTGAGCAGAGCAAGAATATGTACAGCTAGGCTTTCGTTATAAGCGTGTTCTTTTTCATATTCATTTCGCGGTGATACACTCATAAAATAAATTACATAACCAGTGGAAAATATCCATGTGAATTTCACATAACTTTCATGTGATCCCATAATTGGAAATTGCACCACTAAATCCCATGAACATGAACATAACATATGATTTCTCATATAGAATTTCTAATGCTATGTGATATTCAGGTAAAAATCATTGTTTTTGTTTTTGGAAAAAATATTATGTGCGTTCCTAATAGAAACTAAGTGAAAACTTTTTTCAGTGTAGTGTAGCTAGTTAGGTGTCATAGAAAATTATGCGTTAAACACGTCGCTTGAAAGCTGAAACAACTCGAGCTCATTTTAGAGCTTCGAAAATGTAGATAATTGATAGCTAATACTAAAGAATCTACTACCGGAAAGCAAGACAATTGGGCACAACAGAGAATAGCTGAGAAGAACCATTCCAGAGCATTGGAGACAGCCTGGTCGTAACAGGACACCTCGGGCTTTCAACCGATCGCCTTAACATGTTGCGTCAGTACGGTGTTTTAGAGGATAGTCAACCGTAGACTCGTCCTGTACTAACGACTACCTTCCACTCCGAACACGGTACCCTGAATCAGTTTCTCCGGGATCATAAAGAAGCTGATCAGCATGTGGAGCTTGTCACTCCTGATATTGCCAAGAGGATTCCCTGAAGAATCTGGTGTCCCGCAAGGGTCAGTGATTGAAGTCTCTCGCTTCCTAGTGCGGATGTTCCGCAACTTGCCCAAAGATATGTTCATCTTTGTATGTGTCGACGACATCGTCCTGGTAGCTGTCGGTATCACACTCCGTGGGATTCCACCTGTCAGTAGAAAAGTGCTCCTATACCGATGTCTACTCAATAAACCATCAGGCTGCACGATCTTACTCCGACGGAAAAGTTGAAAATATTGGATGCAACACTAAGCATTTACTACCAACTCCAGGATCCCCGCAGTGTGCGTCATGTTCGTAGCCGTAACATCATCTAATGACAAACGAGCGATATTCATAGATTCAACTAGCACAAGGATCCGAAACTAAAAAGCACCCTTGAATCCAGAGAATTCAAAGGTTCGCTCCAAGAAGAAAGCGTTTTTCAGGATCCGGCGCACTGTGAAGGGCAGTGAAGAGCTCAATCATCCTGTGGCTCAGGCTGCCAATCAAGCTTCTTCACCAGGGTGGTGTCCTGGATCAAGCACCCACCCGGATATTTGGATGACTCTTTGGAGCAACAATCCCACATTATCTTATCCGGTTACCAGGGTGGCCAGCAAACCGGGAAATCCGGGAATACCGGGAAATATCCGGGAATTTGGAAAGTAACCGTGAAAACCGGGAAAAACCCGTGAATTCTGCATGAGAACCGGGAAAATAAATTAACCATATCATAGGAACAAATTTTTACATCAGAATTTCAGAATAAACCATTAAAACAGAGTGATCCTTTAGCAAATGAATGTCTTGTTCTATTTGTTGCATAATTTTCTTCAGTATACCGTCTTATTGTTTTTAGAATTTAATCACTCAGCAATATTGCAAATTGATTTTTGTCGTTTCAATTTCAGATGTAAAGTGCATGGTCCTCTAAAGAAAATATTGAAGATGCTGGAGTTTGGAAACAAATATTTGTAAAAACCGAAACTGAATTATTCTTTTCCGGGGTTTTAATTTTTCGTTGTTCAAAATTATCATGATGAATTCCAGAATTAACTTGGAATTCTGCTCTGAATTATCTTGGAATTCTGCTCTGAATTATCTTGAAATTGTTCTGAAATAAACCAGAAAACACTCCGCGTAATAATTACCGTTGAATTATTTTAGGAATTTTCTTCCAACCCCTTCTAAGAATTTATTGGAATCCTTCATATAATTCCCGTTCCCGCCTATCCGGAGACTTTGATTTTAACTCTATTCAAAACAAAAGAAATCTTTCGAAAATTAATTTATAAACCCCTTGGAGTATTTTAAAGAATTTCGTTCTAATTATCAGCAAATTTTTTGGAATCAATTTTGTTTGGGTTATGTGATGAATCATTCGCACTAGGGTTGAAATTATTGCCAGAACATTTTAAGAACTCTGTTTCTTGTTGAATTCCGATCATAATTCTCTTGGAATTCTTCTTAAAATTCATCTGTCATGTTCCTCACGATGTCCATACAAATCTCATCAGAACCACGTAGGAATTTTCTGCAATGTTTTATTTTTATTTTCACAATTCTTTTTTAAATCTACTAAAATTACCTAACAGTTTAATTTAGAATTTCTCCAAAGAAATCCTTCCAAATTAATCTAACAATTTCTATGGATTTCATGTAAGAATAATTCTGGAAATCTGCTCTTCTCCTTCGAAAACTGTGTGGGAATCCTTCTCAATATTTGTTTTTAATCAACACTTTGAATTCTTTTAAATTTTACTAAAAATTCCAGGGTTTGTCCGCCAGATTCTACAGATTGCTATGTAATTTGTTATTACCCTTAAAATGCTTCCAAGTCTCAGAGCGTGACAATTATGACTCCACGACTCATAAGTATGTTTTTTTTTTTTTTTTAAATCTGTGATCTTGAAAAAAATTCAAAATTTCACATTTTTTTTTCACATCCAGTTTCAGACTCAACACAAATTTCAAAGCTCCAGAATCTTGGGAATCTTCTTAAATCACTTTTTTTTTTATCCTATCAGTAAATTTTGTTTTTTTTTTTTTTTTTGTTGCATATTAACAACCGGGAATTTTTAAGATTTGAACCGGGAAAAAACCGGCATTTTCAAAATGAAAATTCACTGGCCACCCTGCGGTTACGCACTGGACACACCAAAGCCTCATGTGTTTCTGTTGAGCTAGAGCTAAACGATGACCAGACAACCACATATAAATCCTATACGTTTGGCAGTAGGCAACATCACGGGTCTTATTTAAATACGGCCCGCCTGACGTATACATGGTGGAAAGGAACGGAAAATCGTGTTACCGTAGAACCCCGTTAGTATGAATAGCTTAAATGGCATTTAAATGACGCTCATTTAGAATTTGTTGAACTGGCACCCCACACAGGTTTCCAATGACTTAACGCACAAGTTAAACAAATTCTAAATGAGCGCCGTGTAATTTCCATTTTAGCTATTGAAACTAGAAGGTCAGGCCCCTGCCGACAACTAGTCACAGTGCAACACTGACTCAAGCCCCGGTAACGAACAAGGACACCGAAAAAGGAAGATAGACGATACTAACCCACACCAAGTAGTATTACCAAGGACAAGCAGCAGGATGAACGACGATAGAGACCCAAGTCCGATCAAGGACAACGATACGTAAATTACGAAAATGATTAACAAAGGCATTAAACCCAACCGATCACACCGGGCAAGGACAAAATTTCAAGAGCCAAATCATGAATCTCTACACTGCTTAAACATAAAGACCAGGGGGTTGAAGCCCTCCTTTTCCATAAAGAAAAACAAAATATTCTTTGGTTCCAGAACCATAAAATTTGTAAAATATAATAGTTGAGTGGCGTCGCCCTAACCTCAATCTACCTGTTCAACAACTCCCAAAACTCAAACAAATAAATCAGTATTGGTTTCAATTCATACAAATCAGTGAAACCAGAAGACCCTGTGCCTTTTGAAACTGATTTAAATGTGAAAGTGATCCTAAATAAGGCCACTGTAATAGTTTGAGATCACAAAAAATTATCCTACACGAGATCTCAAAAAAAAAAATGGATGAATAGTCAAAAGGCCGTCAGTACTTTGGAAAATAATGGTTTCAAACGTTGATTTTTCCGAACTCGTTCACACAAATTAACACTTCTATCAGGTAAGCCCCATCTTTCACCTTCCTGATTGTGGCCCCCATACAAATATGACAGATGAGAAATTTCACAGTATCGATCTTGTTTTCCGCTAATCAACCGATTGTTGCCCGTCTACTAATTAAACGGTAGTCTCGCTCAGGTGCCGACGAAACCATATAAAATCAACCGATCATGTCGAGTGGCACTAGTCAGTAATTTTCGCCGTTGCATTAATCGGTCTATTTCGTGGATTTCGTCTACTGTTAAGCCACGCCCCTTATGAAATCTCATATACGTCGATCCCCTGCTACGACGTTTACTAAAGTGGGCGAGCTTTTGACTATTCATCCGAGACACTAAGGCTGTGTTCCATTTGGTGAATTTTCACTTCAATTTGGCAGATGGAAAATTTTCAAATAAACCTGCTATCCCAGCAGACTTATTTCTGACAGACAAGGAATAAACTTTGTCGGACGCTTTCTCGAAAATCGACCGATCAATAACAGAGGGATTTTCGAACATCTTAATTTATTTTCGAAGTGTCAAATTTAAGTGAAAAATTTCCAAATGGAACACAACCTCAAGTCCTAGATGCATGAAAATTGGTCCATGTTCGTGACCATGCTCAAATCCTACAATCTTTTTTGTTTTCACGGTTATGTCAACTCTTCCAGTGTACTAAAAATATTGTACAAGGTGGAGAGACATCGAATGAATTCCTTCCCCGAAATTAGCCAGAAATGCAATAACAGGACGGACAAAAGCAGCGACAGGTCGAAAAAGCAAAACGGTAGCAGTACCTACCTACGCTGGTGTGGTGGCAGGAGGTGTATCGAAGAGTTTTTTTTTTCAAATTCTGTTAAAATAAACGTACTGGAAACAAGAGTGAAGAATGCATGCTGACGTTGTAGTGTCACTGCGAATTCGTCCGGCAGCATCCCGGTCACCACGACATTTATACCTTGGACATGATTATAGTACCGTTATACCAACCGGTGGAAACTAACGATTTTAAATTGGCTCACTACTTTAATAGCCTATTGGTCCCAAGCAAATCGATTAACGTACCCCATTCTTGTATAAATTCTTGTACTACACAATGTTTGTTTTGATTCGCTATGAAAGATTGACAGATAAAATGAGGGTGTTGACGCCGGGATAGGCTGGCCGATACTCAGGGCCTGAGGTGCAGTAATCATTCTTCACAAACTTCACAATACAAAATAGTCCATATTTATTTTACAATATTTACAATTGCTACACACAAAATCACGGCCTCCCTGTTCGGTAATTTTTTACTGGGTTTTTGAACAGCTGAAAAAGTCAGTAAACTTAAAAAAATTGTATAAAAGTGATTTTTTCTTGAAATTTATATAGACTGTGTTCTTATTACATTTATTTGATGATAAAAATAAAATATGTTAAAATTGTTCGTTGCATTACGTGTGACCGTTATTTTCAGTTTACTGACTTTTTCAGCTGTTTGAAAACCCAGTAAAAAATTACTGACCCCAGTAAAATAATCTCTGTGTGTATGTTACTACACCCATTCCCGATCTGTGGGCAAGGGGTGGGTGCCAACGAGGCGAGCGAGCGCGCGCGGTCTACACAGAGTCCGTCTGTGTAGACGATGGACCGTTTGGTTCGGCGGTCAACTATCGAACTGTTCTATTGCTGCTGCTGCTTCTGTTGCGGTGGAAGTGGGGTAGGATGAAAGAGGTACATCTAATTTCAGGCTATAGAAAGCACAGTACGTTCTACCCTGTATGTGCCTATGCGACCGGTTTGATCTGCTTGTGAGAAGTGTGGAAATGTCCCAGACGATGAAACTATTGTTTCTCATCATATGGACGTCATCAGCTGTGTGCTGTATATAGCCGAGTTGGAGAGTAAGAGTGATAATCTTTTCTGCACTATGGGCACGGGGGTGACCATGGGGGTCAAAATATTATTAATCAAATGCGGTTCACGTTCGGCGTGAACAGAGGGGTTCGTGGATTTTCCTATGTTTCGAGGGGTGCATCGATTAGCTTGGGACCGAAGAGAGTACCAGAGCTGAGCCAAAAAATTGAGCACATTTCTTCGGGACCTTCTGGTCTTAGAGTTACCTCTATGGTTATATTCCTCTAATCTAGTACGTCAATTGCGGTAATTTTTTTTTAATTATAGTCACTTTATACCCCGTTCACATTACAACGTATATTACGTGATATACGCTGTCTTGCAATGAGCACTCATACATCTAGTTTTCACTGGAAATCCTATGTATGAGTGCTCATTGCAAGATAGCCTATATTACGTGATATAGGCTGTAATGTGAACGGGGTATTAAACGCTCTTGGGTCATTCGTGACTTGTCCGGGGGTACTACAATCATGTCTGTCGGTACTATTATAGAGGACCATGAGTACAACGCGAAGTAGAAGAATCATATTGATGCGCAAGACTACAAGAAAAGGGGATATAGGGGGGCTGATGTTGGAAGGAGTTTTACTCCTTTTGTGGCTCAGTTCCTACTTTGGTGAGGAAAGAAACACAACATTCTTTACGTTCGGCTGCTGACATATAGGCCTGATATTTACATCCTTATGAGCAATAAGTCTCCCGTTTACGGTCATATTAAAAACCGTTTTCTCTTCTGTTTTCCGCAGATCTCTATCATGCAGTTCCAAGGAAACGGACAACCCCATCCGGGAAGTTTTCGCCCACGTAGCGACAAACCGGATTTCTACAGTGGAAACGGTGGCCCCGGAGGTAAGCCACACTTTATGAACAAACCAGGTGGACCACCCTCGATTCCTCCCTTCAACCCGAACGGTTTTGGAGGACCTAAGCCCATGTACAGCCCTGGACCTAACGGGCTCGCCGGGGGCCGACCTGGTTTCAACAAATTCCGCCCAAACAACTATGGCGGCCCGAACGAACTCGGTGGAATGATCCAAAAGAAGGAATTTGGAGGACCCAAGCTATTCGGTACCGGTGTCCCTGGAATGATGGGCAATGGAAAGCCACTATATGACAAACCTCTCGATGCATTCGGAGGACCCAAAAAGTACAACACCATGCCAAACTCGTACGGTAGCAGAAATAGTTACGGTCCGAAGCCTGATTTCAACAACATGAGCAAGGAGGAACGTGCCAAGATCCAATCGCTCAAGGCCAAATTCCCAGGACAAGGTCTTGTGAAGCCCATCTGGAAGGACCTAGAGCCATTCGAAAAGGACTTCTACGGTCCTCACCCAAGTGTGATGGCCCGGACCCCGGAGGAGGTACAGGCGTTCCGAGAGCGTTCTCAAATCACCGTCATGGGTAATAGTGTGCCACACCCATCGCAGAATTTCGAGGAGGGTAACTTCCCCGATTTTGTGATGAATGAAATCAACAAGATGGGCTTCCCGAACCCCACGGCTATCCAGGCACAGGGTTGGCCAATCGCTCTCTCGGGTCGCGATTTGGTCGGAATTGCCCAGACCGGTTCGGGTAAGACACTGGCTTACATGCTGCCGGGCATTGTCCACATTGCCCATCAGAAGCCACTGCAGCGAGGTGAAGGTCCGATTGTGTTGGTGCTTGCGCCCACCCGTGAATTGGCCCAGCAGATCCAAACGGTGGTGCGTGATTTCGGTACCCATTCGAAGCCATTGATTCGCTACACTTGTATCTTCGGTGGAGCACTGAAAGGTCCTCAGGTAGGTTGGAATAGGGGATTTTTTTATTTTGCAATTTATGGTTTTTATCTGACGGCGGTGTTCTTTTAGGTTCGCGACTTGGAGCGTGGTGTTGAGGTGGTGATCGCTACCCCTGGACGTTTGATTGACTTCCTTGAACGAGGCATCACGAATCTGCGTCGCTGTACCTATTTGGTGCTTGATGAAGGTATTTGTTTTGTTTTTTATTAGAAAATTAACAAATTTTAAGAACTATCTTTGATTGTGTCACAAATAGCCGATCGTATGTTGGACATGGGCTTCGAGCCACAAATTCGTAAGATTATCGAGCAAATCCGACCGGACCGTCAGGTGCTGATGTGGTCCGCCACGTGGCCCAAGGAAGTCCAGGCGTTGGCCGAGGATTTCCTTCATGACTACATCCAGATCAACATTGGATCGCTGAACCTATCGGCCAACCACAACATTCACCAGATTGTCGATGTGTGCGAGGAGGGTGAAAAAGAAGGCAAGCTATTGGCGCTGTTGAAGGAAATTGCTAGCGATATCAACAACAAGATTATCATTTTCGTTGAGACCAAGAAAAAGGTGGAAGATCTGCTGAAGAACATCATTCGAGATGGATACGGAGCGACTTCGATCCACGGAGACAAGTCCCAATCGGAGCGTGATTATGTGCTGCAGGACTTCCGTCACGGAAAGAGTACCATTCTGGTGGCCACAGATGTCGCTGCCAGAGGTTTAGACGTGGAAGATGTGAAGTATGTGATCAACTTTGACTATCCGAACTCATCGGAAGATTATATTCATCGAATTGGCCGCACGGGGCGGTGCTCTTCGTATGGTACGGCGTATACGTTCTTCACGCCCGGAAACGGACGTCAGGCTAGGGAATTGCTATCCGTTTTGGAAGAAGCTGGACAACAACCGAATGTGGCGCTGATTGATTTGGCAAAACAGGTACGCTAGTTTGATTGTTTAAATAATGTACTTTGATTAAGTGTGGTCAATCAATGATGCTTATTTTAACCTGTATAGGCTCCTGGAGGTAAGGGTGGCAGATGCCGTTACAACGTTCGAGGTGCACTGACTTCCAATGGGTACAATCGGGACCAGAATGGTTTCGGAGGTGCAAGAATGTTCCAAAAGAAACCCTTCGAGAATCGTTACGGCGGACCGCCAAGTGGTGGTATGGGGCCGAACCGATTCAGCAATCCTGGACCGAATAAGTATGGTGGACCCGGTGGATATCGTGGTGAAAATAGTTGGAACAAAAATGCCGGAGGCTACCAGACAGTGCCACAGCACCAGTCCCAGAATGGAACTCCACAGCAGTCGCCACCGCAGCAGCAAATGTACGAACATCAGCAAACGCGGTTCTATCCGAAAAATACCATGTACCAGAATCCGAACCAGTACGAGGAATTCTCCAATCAAATGGTTGGAGGAGCTCCACAAGCTTTCAATGGCCACAATGGAACACGCTTCTATTCAAGCAAGCCCCATCAGGGAGCCGGTGGTATGCAGCAGACTCAGCTCGGTGGCCCAGGAGGACGGTATAATCCCAACAACCAGTACAACGGCGATGTTGGTCCAAAACCAGCCGGAGGTCGTCCTCCGTATCAGCCGAAGCAGCAGCAGTACAATAACAGCTATGCTACCGCCGGTACGGGAAATCCATATCCCGCTCAGTTGGCAGCTGCTGCGGCTGCAGCCGCTGCTGCCGTTGGTGGCGGACAAACCATTCCAACTGCTGGATTTACCACCGGATTCGATCCCTTGGGAGGCGTACAGGGAGCGATGGGCACATTCACATCGTCCTACCAAATTCCAGCCGCCGCAGCTTACTACTCGTATCCGGCGGCCACTGCTCCGCCACCACCACCACAGACCCAGGCCCCGCCAGTTGTTCCCCCCGTTCAGCAGTAAGTTTCCTGCTTCCACGAGAAATAAAGGTATACAGATATATACAGCACTATTGCATGCGAATTCAAATTTATCAACCGGAAAGATTGTTAATTTCCATATTAATTTTAATTTATTAACCGCAACGGAAGATGTTTGTTTTTTTTTTTGTGAAGAAGAATCTTCCCATTATTATTAACGGCGCAAAAAAAATATGTGTTTTCTTTTCACCTTTCGTAACATTTAGAAAGATTCCAATTTTTCCCTCTAATAATAATTACTACACGTAAAAGCGTTCTGTTGCAAAACAATGATATAGTAGAATAATATAATTGTGAATCTTATTATGAAGTAACAATTTGGAAATCGGATAAACAAGAAAACAGAATGAATAGTGACGTTTTGTCTATTTCAGAGTGTTGTTGGCGGTCAACGCAACCCATTCACGTATGTTTGTTAGATCGTAAGCGTAATTACCCACACAACAAAAAACACAGACACACTCGAAAATCCGAGAGAAAGAGAATAAGCAACACGTAAACATTAATCTTAATCTTTCAAAATACACACACGTATATTATAATAGCATATTGCATGCAGGCAAGAAGGTAGATTATCTATTTATTGAACGAGGAAATATTCATACCTAAGCAGACGAAGAAGGAAAGAAAAAAACTATGCATTTTCCAACATATTCATTAGGTTCTTTTTTTGTTGAGTCGTTTTTTTTTTAATTTTTTTTTTCTTAATGGTCAAAATTCAATTCCATGATGTTAGGGATTTCCTTTCAGTTCGACAGTGTTTTGCGCTACGTCTTTCGAGGTGTTGATGGTTGACGCTGGTGGGATCTGTTCTTCGAAAATTAGGGAGCAAAGAAATTTGCTTTAGGCTTCATAAGTCGCATGGCATGGTGACCGAAGAAATCGATTACCATCCAATCCAAAGAATTTTGGACTGGATTGGAAAGTTCCATGCTGGTTTTGGAGCTTATCAAGAATTTGTATAAATTCATATGGATTGAATAAGGAGAATCTACAAATGGCAATTTGTGGATTCTATCAACCTTGTCCTTAAAATTATCGCTACAATTCTGATGTCAATGTTAGGGAAATTTGCTTTGACGTTCGACACTGACAGTGTGTCCATCGGAAAGCAACTCGCCAGTTAAGTAAAATCGTTTCAAATCCCTCCGATCTGCAACCATCACCTTCAGAGTAGCGCAAAACTCTTGTTCTTATCTAAACTGTGTCGATTAGCTGTGAAATCACAGGAAAATTATCCCCACAAACATTCACAGCCATCATACTACAATCACTTTCATGAATCGCGTATTAATCATGCGAAACCAAGGGTGAAATTCAATACTATTAGTGATGTTCAGCTATAGCATATGTTCACTAATATTAAACCTCTGGCGTCCGGTCGCTTATGGAGCACCCCAGGCGTCTCAGAGACTCCAGAACTACCCCCTTCCCATATCCCAAGTATGTATGTGAATCGTTTGGTACAAACAAAAACAAATCGAGCTGTGAAGAAGAATGCAAAACAATGACTTGGAAAAATGTCCAAACTAGAGCGAATATTCATTTTTGAGTTCGTACACAGACTTTCGCGCGAGAAAGCGAGCGGAAACAGAAATCATTGCATCAAATTTTTCGGCACCAGAGAGCAAAACAATAAAAATGCAATCGATACGAAAACAGAGAAAACTGTTTCGGTAGGACTTTTTTAATACCGTCACAAACGTTGTGATTGGTGGTAGTTTACAAGTATAAACAAAATTACAAAGGAAACCAATCTGCTGCGGAAAGTAAGATGAATCAAGTGTGAAACGAAGAATCAAGAGTAAGCAACTAGCGAATAGTTACTAAAGAAAAACGGATAGGAGAAATCGATAAGAGCTAATTGGAGACGGCGAGCGCCTGAGATTTAAGTGAAATAAATGGAAAAATACACACATGTGATAAACGTCGATGTGTCACTTGTGAGAATGATAATGATATACCAACAAAATGAAGTAAACAAACAAACAAAACACACAATGAAGGCAAGAGACTTGAAAACTTTTTTGTTTTATTTTCTGGAATTTGTGATATTTGTTTAAAATTTCTTTCGTACCTAATACATCGCGCTAACGTTAATTAGAATGCTTATCCCGAAATAAATTTACGCGGACAAAACAAAATGGAACTCGAGAAAGTAAATTTGCGCGTACCATTAACAGAGACACAGAATTAGGAGCTTGCGACATTAAGTTCAAAGAACGGAACCGGTTTTGCCAAAAGCCAAAACACCGCCGTTAAATCTGTGTAATAAGCTACGTAGTAATTTTTTAGAGGCCACATTCCTTTAAATGAAGCATATTACTGAGTCTCGGGGTTGTCGCCCCTCGGATCCAGTAGTCATATTTGTTTTTTCTCATTGAAAACTCAATTCAGTACCTGTTCAAACGAAAAGTAAACAAGAATCAAGCAAAACATAGACGCGAAACATAGTGGAAGAGAACAAAGCGAATGATGAAAAGACGAATTTTAATTTAAGCATCAATTTGAGATGAAAAATACAAACTATTTAAATTGTTTAAGTGAAAAAGCAAATAACAGTAATCAAAAGTCGTCAGTTGAAGACAGTAGTAGTTAAACAAAGCATGGATTTCCTTCTCACACAACTCTAGTCCGAAAAACTGTTGTTTTTATTTTGTATTGTTTTTTTTTAAATCAATATTTATCATACAAAGGGGAAATCCAACGTGTGATAAGGCGGATCGCGCCTCCACCGTCGTTGCAAGACACAAAAGGTGATATCGGTATTTTTATGGTTCTTTTTTTGTATAGAGAAAGAAAAATGAAGAGATGAGAGGTTTTTCAATTCTCGTGAAAGATGCGAAAAGTTTCAAAAGTACTAGCGAAACCAAACAAAGAGTAATTTAGGAAAGGAGAGAAACAACAAGACGCGACAACACAAACTAGGACGTAAGTGAAAAAAAGAACTGAGCGTTTGTCTTCCCAGATAAAACAAAAGACGCTCATTAACAGTATTTTTCACACATAAAACAAGCACATTCACGCGCGCGCTGTTGTTATTAAATACATGGCAACTACATGACATTTAATGACATGAAAGCAAAACGATAGTTGACAGAGAGGAAACATGAACGGAAAACCATAACCAAATTGCCTTTAATGAACTGTGATCGTATCAAATCTCGTCTCGTTCCTTTTTCTCATCACTTTGTTGTAAGAGGACAAGATCGTAAAACTCCCCCCTCCCCCCCTCACAAGGAGGGGAAAGAAACTCATTTTGTACACCTTCATTTGTTGTATCACCTACAAATCTACTATATTTTTTGTTATTTACAAAAGCTAATAAGTACTAGAACAAATACATTCGTGTGTGATTCGGAGTTGTTCATACTCTGGCTGACTGATTATTGTTGTTTAAGAACTACTAGTTAGAAAGTGAATAAAATACATTCAATTGACGCAAAACGAAATGTATGCCAAAAGTATTCATATTGATACACAAACAAAAAAAAAACCCTTTATAAATTATGTTTAAAAATCAAAACGAAATGAAAAATTAAAATTCGTCAAATTGTTCCTAACCGAAAGCCACGCGGTATTTTTTTAGTTTTCTTAAAGCTAGAATCGTTAAACAAACCTATAAATAGCAGAGGAAATTTACTTCTCGAAACCGTAACAAACATAACACAAATGTTGCAATAAAACAAAAAAGTTAACCAGCGAACTTTCTTTCATAAAACATGAACCTAAAATGCGATTCAAGCAAACGTGCACGCATACGTATTCGGTGTACGGTTTGTTAATTTCTACCACATACCGAAACAATTTGTTACAAGCAAGATTGGTGCTCTTGCACTTTCTATTGGGTGATATTGTGATAAACATCGGAGTATGTCGTGTAGTAGGAAGCAGAAGCAAAAGCCAAGCAAACGAACAAGTCATTATCAATATACGAAACAAAACAAAGAAAAACTCGCATCTGTGAAAATGACAACCGAACTAACCACAATCCGGACATAAATACATAACACACACACACAAACAAACAAAAGCAAATCGGGTAACTTTGTAATACATTGTTGTTTGTAAGCAAACCTTAGGATCTATATTTGAGAAAGGTCATCCAGAAGAAACTTGATGAATCTTGTGCAAGGGTTTGCGCGGCGAACGGTCCGCGGAAACTGTGAAGTCTACAATAAAGTTTTTTTTAGGAAATACTTAAAAGAAGAAACCCAAACGCTCGCCTCTCTGTAGAGATACCAACAAGTTGATTGACGAGAAAATCGAATCAAAAAGTCACGAAAATGTTTTATTTATCTAAAACGAGAAATGTGTCACTTCTTATTTATGGAGCTATTTTTCACGAAACACACACACACAGGATACATTTTTTTTCGTATCAAAAGCAAACAAAAACTACCAACTGTGAGCGTCATGAAAATGATTTTTTGAAAAATGCATAAACTGTAAATCTCGTGTGAAGAACCGAAGCACACAATTCGGGAACATATAACAGGAGGTAGCGAGTGCTTCGAGCATGACGGTTGGATTGGTGTGCTCTCTGAGAGCCGGGCAACAATCCTGTCATTCGACGCCACGTCGATTTACACGATTCGATGCCCTAGTGTTCACCGATTGCGCAAGAAGCCTCACATATTTCGCTCCACTGGCAGATACTGCTTAGACGAAACGGAAAAGACCGAAGGAACATGAATAAAATCGTTTAATAAAAAAAAAAAAAACAGCAACAACAGTAAACTAATAAAAATTTATCAAGTTTAATGGGCAAAATAAATGTGGACTTTTTCATTTTTGTTGTTGAAAGAAACTCCCTTTAAAGACTGCTTATAGTACTATTTGGTTCGTGGAAAAGGAACAATCGAAACGAGTGTCTGACGTTTTTAGGCGTAAACTTCAAAGGACACAAAATAAGATCCATAGCACGATCCGGAACAGTCCACGTGAAATTCTGAAGTATACCACATGGCTGAGATTCAGACTCAAGAAGAACGGAGAATGATCATCCTGGAAAGGTTCAGAGACACCTGTCTGAGGTCAGATCAACAGATCATTAGGCTAAGTTTCAATTCAAACCAAATATGCCCCCAAGGGGGAAGAATGTAAACTTGTTGAAAAACGGAAAATTTATAGAAACAGTAACTGTTAAACGCTGTCCAGACTGGAGAGTTATAACATGTTATAACGGTTGTCAACTAATTGCAACACAGAAACCACCATCAAGATAGCGCTATAACATGTTTTAACTCTGTAGTCTGAACAAGGCATTAGGCCATTCTGCGCGGCGTGTGAGGTGAGGTGACAGTGAAGTGACAATTTTCACCTCGGGTGAGGCACAGAGAACAGACGTTCAAGTTCGGTCAGAAACTTGTGTAAAATAAGTGGGAACGTCGCCGTTACGTGGTGTTAGCATCTCCTGATTTTCTCTATAAATTTTCCACTTTCGACCAATTTGGCGCTAGTATCGATAAATTTTCTGTTGAATATTGCCACTTGGCGCTACTAGCACTTAGTGTCTAGTGTAATTTGTGCAACGCCAGCGCCATCATGTTGTCAAAGAGGGTTTTTAAGTGGGGAAGTCGCCGTTAGTGGCGCTTAAGTGGAATAGGAATCTTTACACAAGTTTTTAGAGAAATTTTGTTCGAGCCTCCATGTATGTTCTCTGTGGTTTTGATATCTTTCAAATTGGCGTCTTGCAGTGAAACTTTTCCAAGCTTTCGCAACCTACATTTCGGAGTGAGAACTACTAGAAGGAGGATAGTTTCCAAATTTTCCAAGTAAAACAGATGCTTTTTGGGGCAAATCGGTCCATGAGGAAAAACTAATAATTTCCCGTGAAAACTTTTGCTTGAATCGTGTAAGAAAACGTATTTGAAAACTATTTGTTATTATTTCGGTATGGATCGGAGATGTTTTCATGGAAAATTATCCATAACAAGTTTGCACCCACAGGGAGAGGTTAGTGTAATTTGTGCAACGCCAGCGCCATCATGTCAAAGAGGGTTTTTAAGTGGGGAAGTCACCGTTAGTGGCGCTTAAGTCGAATAGGAATCTTTACACAAGTTTTTAGAGAAATATTGTTCGAGCCTCCATGTCTGTTCTCTGTGGGTGAGGTGAGTCTCCGTGCAATTCAAATATTTTTTTGTATGAGAATTTCGTTCGAAACGAAATACAGAATAGGAGTGGGAGAGTCACCTCACGTGAAGTGACAATTGTCACTTCAGAAGTGACAGCGTGTCACCTCACCTCACACGCCACGCAGAATAGGCCTAAATATATTTAATAAAAAGATGAAGAGGAGCCCTTCAGCCAAGACAACAAATCTGGATCAACAATAGAAAAGGGCCCATCAGCATTTGTAAACAAACCGTTCCAAAGCCCTTTACTCACAAAGCGAAGACCACCCACGCAAACCAACATCATCATCGGATAGGGGAAACTTTCACGTACACGATGATGGTGTTGGTTTGTGTGGGCGGCCTTCGATTTGTGAGAAAAGGGCTTTGGAAAGGTTTGTTTACAAATGCTGATGGGCCCTTTTCTATTGTTGATCCAGAAATCAACTTTGCCAGAATCCAAGCGACAGATACAGTGAGTGAAGGTGGAAGCAACGCATAGAAAAATGAGCAAATACACAAACCCTTCTTCTGAGGATGTAATCTTTGCTATAAAATTCGTTCGAAGCATTTACCTTTACCACAGACAAACAGACGTAACTCTTCATTGTGTATCTTCGTTCATGCATTTAACGGTTGATTTGAATATTATTAGTTCCGCGAACTACTCGCCGCAGCGCTGGCATCGGATCACTTTGACGTTTCTATATATTCTATAGAACTTTTATGCAATATTGTTTACGAGTTAGCGAGCAAGCTTGTTTTCCGCGAGAAGCCAGAGAGATGTCGTTACTGAGGTTATATGTTTTGAGATACTATGTTTTCAAGAACAAGTTTTTCAAAGAGTTACGTCTGTTTGTCTGTGCCTTTACTGTCTCATAGCGTTTGTATGAGAAAATGGAAGAGTTGCCAGTCTTCTTGATTTGTTGTCTTCGCCTTCAGGCTAAATAAAATGTAATGTTACAACAAATTAACACGTAAATTGTTATGATGCCATGCTGGAGGGGGCATTGAGCCTGGTCGCCAGTGTAATGTTGATGACCAATTATACACCTTCCATGCAGCAATCAAATAGATAAAAATGAGATGGTTCTTAAATATTGACTTATGCGAGTCGATTGAAATCAGCCGAATATTAAATAAAGGTTACTACCGCGTACATACCATGGCTTATATCATGTAATCATGTAATCTAGGCTGTCTTGCAATGAGAACTTATACATCTAGGTTTCACTGGAAATCCTATGTATGAGTGCTCATTGCAAGACTGCCTATATTACATGATATAAGCCATAGTCTGTACAGGGTATAACCACAAACGAAGTTACAGACGACTTTCTCCGAAGAAATTAATTAAAATAATGTGGTTCTCTGTAATAGAATTTTAGTTCACCTTCCGCCCCTCACCGCCAGGTTCGCTAGTATTTTTGTTTTGAATTAATTCAAGTTGGTTTTGTGTGCAATGATCTGGCAACTCGCGTTCTCGCTCGCATTGACGGGGTGCTGTTTTCTCACTCATCGAAGGAAATTTTGATTAGAGTGAGAAAGTAAGGAACAGTCAGTGCGGGAGCCGTGTGCGTTACTATAGGTGCGGCAGAAGGAATGTAGTCGACTCTTTTGTTCTTACGGTGTTCTTACACATGATCCAACGTTACGTCACACTATATTATGCATAAGAACGTCGTTTTAATGAAAGAGCTGACTTGTTTCCTTCTGCCTCACCAATCGCTTTGATCACAACAATTGCGATTCTCCGTCGGTTCGTTTCGCTGCGCGAGTTAAAGTTTTGATCGTCGGAGGTTCTTTTTAAATAAAGATCTATTCACTACTGCTGCTACCTAAAGACTACTTCAATCAATAATTCCTACAGAGAACCTAGCACTCGCGAAAAGTGTCCACTATGCAAGTCCGGAGTCCAATCGGTCACCCGATTGCGGAATGCTGATGAAGCTCGCTGCTGTTGTCATTCTGTGCATCCGTCCTAGATGCTGACGAGAGCACCGACGATGGAATTTGCCAAGAGCGGTTGGCACCGGCGTTAACTCGCCCCTCCTTAGTGATGAACCTCCAGGGGCATCGTATATCCAAATGAAGATGTGTTTAGGTTTCCGACGTTTTTTCCAGGTTCCGATTTTCCACGATGATCGTTGGTGTTTGGCATCGTCTCTAGTTTGATATTTGTTGTTCTGCGGGAGAAAATGCTGAGGAAAATAATGATACCGATTATGGGGAGGATGGTTATCCCTCCAAAAAGGGACCAGTGTGGGAAATGCAGACTGTAGCTTTTTAAACGGAGTAAGTCCAAATCTTTCCGTGTTTCTGTTTGCAGTTTGTGGAGATGTTCCATACTAAGGTTCAATATAAAACTGTCCTTGGAAATAGCTATTCCGTCCAGATGAAGGTGGACCGGATTTCCAGCAGTGGCTCGAGTTCTGCCGGCATACGAAATGTTGTTGATTCGTATGGTGCAATTCTCGTATCGAATCAGATATGATTCAGTGAGAATTCTTTCATTGGTGCTGCAATCTGATGATAGGGTGAAATTGCTCATTGAATTCACCAGTAAATAATACTAATCGATGGGAACAATCTCCTGCTGTATGGGATTTGATGAATAGTTGCAAATGGCTGGTCTCGCATCTATTAGGTTTGGTATGCATGTAGACTCGGTTACTTCAATGTCCTCAATTCGATAAATGATGGGTTCTAGGTTCTTGACGATAAATTTCTGTGTCGGATGGATCAGGAAAGATCTCTCTGTGGTGTGGATTTGTTGTTGGTTGTGGAATGTTGGGAAAACATAGATTCTACGAAAAATTCTGGGGTCTAACTTCGGCATCTTGATGAATAATACGATCTCCTTGCGGTTGATGGCGATTGCTGTCTTGG